TAGAGGAAATACTCATACTTTTGATTATTCAAAACTGAGATCAGTTGAAACGAGTTGAAGAAAATGTATATCATAAGTTATATTTCGTACCTTTATCTTTGCGACTTGTTGACTTTGAACTAGATTCGCCACCACCCTTGGGACGACTAAGAGCGCCGGTGGTTTTGCCTGATTTACGCTTAACGCGCTGTAATGCTTCATTGTGACTCATATTTGAGTACATTTGGGCATCATCCTCAACCTCTGTAGTTTGTTCCAATGGTGGTACGGTTTCATTGCCTTTGAGCTCGTTCTTTTCAATAGTTTTGGCAGACAAATGATTGCCAACGTTCTCGTAATGGTGTCGCTCGTAAGGTTCATCGTGTAGATCACGTCTTTTACGTGGATTAATATTTGGTATAGGTTTTTGACTTTGATGTTGAGAATTTTTAACATCTTTTAGTTCATGACTATCGCCGCGACGTCTATGATGATTTTTTGCAAATTGTTTAAGTTTTGGCTTTTCCTCGAGTCCTGTACGTTTCTTCGCCAAAGATTGATCACGCTTGGTGCAATGGTGTTCAGTGCAATTTGACTTTTTCGGCTTCTTTACTTTTTGCTTCATTCTATACAATTTAAGCTTTAGATGTTCGTTGGGAGACTGAGATTTAAGGATGTCATCAATATGTATGTAGTAAACATCCCCTTCAGCGGCTAGTTTACTGCCACTCCACTTGTCGGTGTCTGCTGACGCATCGGGATCGTGATGTATTACTTGTCTTTTATAACGACTTCCTCTGCCACGAGTTTGGCCATTTTCATTTTCAATCCGTCTTCTTCTACCCGAACCAGAGCGTCTATTCTTGTCATTCATTTTACGATTTTGATTACTTTTTTTCTTTGCTACTCCGTCAGCATCAGTGAACTCCTCATTATCATCTTCATCATCGTCATCCTCGTCGTCTTCATCGTCTTGTTCATCACCTGCAGCCATATCATTAGCATGGTAGCCTGAAGCTGCACGATGATCATTGATATTGACCTGATAGGGATTCACAATGCCACCCATTTGATTGCCGTTATGACGTCCTGTCAGATCAATATTGATCCTTTCGACATATTCCACATCACCAGTTGTTAAATCGTCCGGAGGATAAACTTGCGTTGTTTCAAATTTAGCATATGGCTGTTGGGTGGTTGTCTCGGGTTTAATCACGGTGAAACGTATATCCGGAGCTTTGCATCCCGGAGAGGCATCTGAAATTCCATAATTAAACTATATTTTAAAAATGTTCAGGTGCTTTGGTACAAAACTGAAAGATATAAAAACTTAGTATATATGTACATTAGAAGTGCCCAAAAAATATGAATTTCGCTTTTACTGGTGTAAAATTTTATCTAAATCGGATTATTTTTCTGTAATGAGCTGAAAATTAAGACATTGTGAAGGCATACATACATATTTCAAATAAAATTAAAAAAAGTTTATTTTGACAAGATATCAGGTTTTTCTGTAGTTCTATTTTTATTTATATTTTTCCCGTGAACAGTACATAAATATGCATCGTTTGAGATCAATATAAACGTAATGTTTTTAGAGCTTTTTCTTTACATTTAATATAAAAGGTTTAATATACTCTTCATTTGAAGTATGAATTGAATTAAAAATTTTGTAAAAACAAAACAAATTGATTATATTAGTTATACTTGAGTGCACATTTATGTGACTATGTATAATTCTTAAATAATATTGTTAACTAGTGTTTATAATAGTTTAAAACTGTTAATTAATGCAAAGAAAAAATAAACAATGAAAAAAAATGCATCGTTTGAGACTTCATCAAATTCCCAAAAACAATGTTCCTTGGGACACTCTAATGTACAGTATTATGTAAATTAATAAATTTTTGACGAAATATAAATTATAACTCACCTGGTTCAGGGGTAGTAGTTTGGGGTTGTTCCGTTTCAACATTAGCAGATGTCTTATCAAGAAATACAACAACAATTATTAGAAGAAATAGAAACGTCCACATTGGTTTGTGACGCATATGCTGCAGATGATTGTACGGAACTTGCAGAAGTAACATTTTTTTATTTAAAATAAAAATATATAGTTTTTTTGCGAAATAGTTTTTATGATTTGTATCAGTTAACTGAAATTGCAAAGATTTAATTTAATTTAATTTTTTTTACCGTTCTTTGTTATATTATTGATTTAATATGATTAAGATAAAACGACACGTTAGAAAAATATACAAACAACATCCTTCGTCAAGGACTCGCATTTATAGTATAAGTAGTACATATATATGTACATACGTACATATGTATATATACATACATTTATACTATATACATATGTACTTACTATATGTACATTTGCACGAAAACAAACTTATGCATATGCATGTAGATTTGATTTAACGATAAATAAATAGATGAATAAAAATGAAAATTTAAATAACAACTAAATTATACACATATATATATATAACAACAAATTTAAAGAGGAGAGAAAAAATTGAGAACTGTATGTGCGCTATTGTTTTAAATCTGATGTCGCTGTTGCTTAAAATGAAAGCAAAAGGATTCTGCACTTTTATCATTATATAAAAAGGATAAAACTCTTAAACACATACTTAGTTATTAAGGTTATAAACAAAATTAGGCCCTATCACTACGTAGTAACAACCAGCAGTGTTTTAATAACGAAAACAATTTATTCGTGTAATTTTGGTGAAAAAACCTTCCGCGTCAAATCTTTTTAAAACCATTCAATGACAAATTTACATGAAATTTTAATAGTATAGTCTACATGTTTGGGTACTAAATTTGTAAAGAGAATAAACCGCAGTCCGTATCCTTGCTTTTCTTCTGTGTCAATGTCGTGGGCCAAACAATGGCACTTGTTCATATCAATAATTTCCGATTTTATGTTAATGAAGCAATTATAAAAGATATTATTGTTTGAGGTAGCAAATGAGACTCTTATTTCATTTACTTGTACTAAATGAAATAAAAAATAAATAAAACTAAAAAAATTAAACGCGGAAACAAGCTTTCCGCTCCTAAAAGCTATAAAAATAAAAAAACCACTTAACGATTTTGAAGATTCTAACAACAATAGTTTTTCAGATATACAATTTGTTACATATGAGAGATGCCACGCAAATTATTGCAAGTTCGCCTATTTTCCCGAACGTTAATTAAGATTTTAATCTAATCTATGAAAAATTTGAATAATTTAATAGTTTCCCAGATATACGATGTCCCTAATGTACATATGCATACACTAATTCATGTGTGCACATATACATACATATGTATATATGTTGTCAATTATTCAAAAAACGGATGTGAATATAAATACATACATATATATGTATATTAAATATTTTTCTTTTATTTTTAATTTTCATAAACTCAAATATAACTAAATCAATTTGAATTATTGAAAATTTTTCGCTGGTAATACTTTTGTGTGTATATCTATAATTAATTATTTTTATTAAATAAATAAAATTAGGTGCGACAGATTAATAAAGATCCATGCATTTTCGAACGAACAAAAATACATATTTATTTTAAGTGTTATTATTTATTAATAGTATTTTATCTTTTCTTTATTTAATTAATTTAAGAAAAAGTTTTTTTTATATTTAACTCGTTTTTAGAAATCGTTTTTTATAATTTCTCTACACCAAATATATCTATATTGCATGATTCGAGTATCAAGATGGAAATATTATGTGTGTTTCCTTTTCTACAGTGTTATCTAATTTGATTTTCTTGTGGTTTTCAAATCAATTACATTTAATAAAGAATATAATTATATTTAAAATATGTATTCATAATCGGTTATCTATATTTCATAAAGTACTTTTATATTATGTGCAATTAATTGTTTAAGGTATTTTTTTGTATTTTATTATTCACTTATAATTTTAAACCTTTTTATTTCCGCTAAACCGTATTATCCGTCTAAAGAGTTCGAAGTTCAAAAACGAACTGAGGTTTTCTATGATTCTCTCGCAGTATTTATATAAGTATCTATTTTCGTTAAAAGTTTGCTCTCATTCGTCAGGTCCTGCGTGGTATCAAATATACATCTCATCTTAATTTGTTATTATTTGTTTTGGCCGGCTTTTCTTATTATTTTTCCAAAATATATGCAGAGTTTGTGGCATGTGCTTTTTCTGATTTGTTTTTGTTTTAAATTCTGCATGCATGTATCAATTATTGAAATTGTCAAAAGGCGCCAAATGTTTGCTCATATGTACCTTAATTGCCATTTTATTATCATGTTAACATTGTACATAACTTAAAACTACTGAATACTGATAGAAAAACAATTCCGGTTTTAAGTACATTAAAGTGCATTTAAGTATATGAAAACATCCTACGACTTAATTTCAATGAATACGAAACGCTTCTAGATACATAGATTTCATATTGACACTAAAGTCGGGTCAAAAGTGTATTAATTGAACCGCAGCGTATTGTTAATTATACTTTTTTACTCAAGTTATACGTACTTATTCGCAAAATATACCCCGCATTGTGATATTATAATATTTTGAAATACATACATATGTATGTACATATCTATATTTAAGACACACATGTAATGTTCACTATTATGCACTAAATATTTGGTAGATAAAATTATACTGAATAACTGTAGCTAACCGTGCAGGAAAGTACATTTATAGCTACGTATAGAAATGCAAAACAAGTTCAACAAATAAATAACAACACATCCTCTGAAGTGCTGGTGTGGAGATGTCAACAAACGGATGCAAACACATGCCACCCGTGTAACTTAAAAACTCAAACAAATGAAATAAAATTGCGCAAGTGCATGAGAATGAAAAGAAAACAAACAGTGAAAATAAAATTTGAGAGAAAACACGCAGTATTTTAGCACCAAACTGTACAAGTGAATTCTGCAGCTCCACGGAGGACAATTTGTCTACGGAAGAAAATTTAGTTGTTTTTTGTTCTCCTTTGGAATAACACTTATTAACGGCATAAAATCGCAGACTCACAGATTTTGCATAAAATATTTTAAAACAGCAGTCAGACAGACAGACAACATACACACTAACAAGTAATATTCACTTGTGTATCTAATGGAGTAAATGAAAAAAATAATCCCAAGACGCCTTAGTAAGCAAATTACACACATTTAATAAGTTATTTAAAATATTGTAATTTGGTTTTATTTAATTTAAATTATAATAAAAATATCAAAGAAAATATTAGTATTTGTGTATGTACAATAATCTTAACCACATATACATATTTATATGTACATACATACATACATATATAAATAATCCCAAATTATTTAAATCTAATAAATTCTACGTCAATTACAACGAATGTATCTGTGCTATTGCGAAATAAACAAAAACATTTTAGTGATTAGGATTTAATAAGAAGTGAAACAATATGATTATGTAAAAATTATAGTCTGGAAAATAATCTTTAAGAAATTCCGACAGAATGAAATAAAATCGAATTAAAAGAAAAAAAGGAACTTTAAACGTTTTTTCTTTTCTGTTAAAGTCACCATAACCACCACCCACCCTAAAGTGCCAGACTTCCGGTTAATATTACATACAAAATAATGTAAGGACTACTCTCATCTCATCTCAACTTATTTCATTTCATCTCATCTCATATCATCTCATCAACTTATTTCTCTCATATTGTAACTTCAAATTGTCCTTGCTCTTATTATTCCATTTACCGTTTCTATTTTCTAAGTATTTATGTGAGTGTGTCTATGAGTATGTAGAAAAGCTACACCACATCTTAACATTAGTACGAGAATACTTATTGCCGTTGTACACAAGTGTAAACAAAGTAAAATAAAAAACAAAACAAAAGAACACAGTAAACATTACAGTACAATGGCAACAAAGACAATAACAGTAAACGTTATTTAAGGCATACAAATAAGGAAACACGAGGATATCATATCTTCTTCCTCTTCTTTTAGCAAATAAAAGAAAACATACATACTTTCACACGTAAACATGTACATACATATTTACATGCATATTGTAACTACGAGCATAAAAGAGTATCTTTATGAAACGAGTAAAAATGTTGGGTGATTTTTATATATGTGTTTGACGGAGAGGAGATTGAATTTTTTCTTTTGGTTTAAATTGTTATTAGAACAATAAAAAAGGAAATTGTGAAAAAGGTTATAAAACATTTCAATGTAGTTACGTATTCTACTTAATGGTAAAAGTTACAAATACCCTTACATACATACATATGTATGTAAGTTTTCATTTGAATAATGCATAGTCACATCAAAATCTGCGCTATGTATTTTCAAGTATACACAGTGAATGTAACAAACAAAAGAATTATAGATGTGATATTTTTAGGTTAACATAAAAGTTTTTGCATTTTATTATAAGTACCTATTTTGATGAAATCACAAACACTTTGTTTTTATGTTTGTCTCATTTCTGCTGCCACTTACTTTCATAACTGATCCCTGGGGACGTTTTGAATAAATAGTATGAATGAAAAGATAACTTAAAATAATGCCAGTAGTATTGTACACCGTATTCAAACTTTAACTGCATATTGTTAATACTAAAACATTTTAAAAGTTTTTATTTCTATTATTCGACACAGCATCTAACGAACGAATTTTAAATTATAGAGTTACATACATGTTTACAAAATATATAAAGTAATGCATAAGAACATATTATTTTATTCCAGTGAAAATCAAATTGACCAATTATGTATATCCGCCCACTATTAAAAAAATGCACCACCAGTATTTCAAGTACCATAAATATTCAAAAATGCTTAAAATAAGTTCATATTTGCATTAAAAAAAAAACAGTCAACGCGAATAAAAAATATTTAACATAAAATGTTTGGATCCAGAATAAAAACATGGATGGAAAACCATCTTGGTAGACCTCGTAAAAAAAGCAACAAAAATAAGAATGTATCGCCTTCCGATCACATACCGACTGGAGAGCAGTATAAACAAAAGCATGCAGCTACAGGTTTCACCCTGTACAATAGCAACGGATGTTCATCACCATATAGGACCAATACGAATTCAAATAGTTCTAGTGCCAATCTTACAGGATGCAATAGTAGCGTTATTTCCAGTCCCAATAGGCGTAGAGAAGTATCTCCCATACAAAATCATGTGAGTGTTATATCAATAATATCAATTAAAGAACTTTTAATAAGTTGATCCTTAAATTTCTAGACTCAGAGTCGTTATGGTTGGCAGTCGCCAGATAGAGAAAATGTCATCTCCCCCAAATCAGAGAATTTCTTGTATGCACCTCAGCATCATAGTCAGCAGTATTTGCGCAATCATCACACAGCTCCCAATACTCGAGAAAATTCTTGCGAAGACAATAAAATCGTTTCTAAACAGCAACAGCACCAACTCAATTGTTCTACTTCATCGTTTTCTTCATTATCTTGGTCCACGGGCTCTAAAGAACCATCAATGAACTCCAATAATATTCCGAATGCAAATGCAGTTTGTCATTCTCTTGTTGCACCCATCAATAGCAATACTACTTCAACTTCAACTGACATGAAATCACATACCCTAGCGGACTCCAAACCATCAGACGAGGATCCTAATGCTGTACACTACGAAGAAATTGATGAACTTGGTACTTTAATAAGACATCCTGAGAAGCTGCTTGATAACACAATTAATGATTTTGAAAGACCGAAATCTGAACAATTTCCAAAACATAAACATACTACCACAGTATTTTCTGACAATAAGCAAACACAAGATGATGCTTCCACCAGATATGGCCGATTGTTGCCATCAAAGATGCCAAATCCTATAATAGTAAGTTTTCGTACAGGCAGCGAAGAATGTATTTCAAGAAATGGTTCTCACTTCGCAACACAAAGCCCCAGGGGGGATATAAAAAATACTTCGTACTCACAAAATCGCAATGGTGTGAGAAGTAAATTAAGAACGGGTATTCATCCAGGTTCTCTTCAAGGAAATCCTTCTGCACCTCTGGTCAGTCTATCATCCCCAGAAAGTGCATATTCGACAGGTTACTCAACAGATGGGACATCGCCTGGTGCTGGATATACACCGCCAGAATATTATGTAAATATGCGAACTGGTACCCACTATTTCCCTAAAAGTGTAAACTCATTGGCTATAGAAGCTCAAAGATATAAATTTGGATTGAATAAAATTGAAGAGATGTCACCCATTGATCCCTTGGTAAGTTCTGCTGTCCAACTAGTATACCACTATTTCTTTAAATATTTGCTCATACATATACGCATTTTCAGCCGAAAACCTCATTTGCTCATCGTAATATTGAAGAAAATTATTCTGCATTAGCTAAACAAAATATTTTCACAGAACCATACGAAAAGTCGTCGTCCACTTTTCAAGCGTGGGAAACGAGCGAAGTTAATAGTCCACTGCCTATTCGAAATACTATCGTCATACCAACTTTGAAAGGATTTGAATGTAAGTTGAGTATAAACAAACGTATCGTACTCCAAATAAACTGTTTTTCTTCCACTTCTCGCAGCTCCATCGCCCCGACAAAGATGTCGAATACGCACTAATCCATGGTATTCTACTACTGAAACCTCTTCATCAAGTTCTACAATGAACCCATTACAACAACAGCAGCAACAACCACAACAAAATCTCCACCACCACTCAGGTGGATCGCTTACAAACACATCATTAACATCCTCAATGACGTTCTCATCTACATCATCACACTCGACGTCAGCCTTATCGACAATACATCTTGATCAAGACTTTCAACGTTCAGTCTCCCCAGGTATCAGGAACAGTACTTTAGGTGCAACAGTCTTGAGTATGAAAAATAATAATAACAACAAGTAAGTTACATGATGTGGCACACAAAACAGCAATGTACTCCCTTGTATTTTGCAAGTACTCATAATGAAGTGCAATTGAAAAACACAACACTCTACAAATTGCATATGTTCATATGTAAGTATATTTTTTCTATGTGTTTTCCAGCATCATGACATGTGTGTCGTCAGAGTCTTCATCCTCATTGACAGAAGTGGAAAATATGCAACGATGCTATACACCCAATACCATTAGAAAAAAGCGGTCCTTGCAGTTACATTATAATCAACATGCTGATCTTGTTGCTACCGGCAACAAGAAAAGTCAAGAAGCTCCTTTGGCTGTGGCAAGTGACGACGATGCCACATTGAATGAAATGATGGGTAAATTTGATGAAAGTTACATATACGAAAAGGAGACTGACATTTTAAGGTATAATTCTCTTATACCTATACATATGTATGTAAATGTTTTAAATGTTTGTTTTTCTTTGTAGCAGTGACTCTGATCCTACTGACTGCCCTACCGACATGGATACGGGGCAAGATGCTGGTGACGAATGTGACACCGATGACTTATTAGATATCGATTTCATTGATACTTCTTCAATACAAGAAATTTGTGAAAATAAAGACCACCAAGTCAACTTGGGAAAATGTTATTATGTGCAAGGAAGTCCTTTAATGGCCCATAGAAAGGCGTCTCTTAGATCACGCAATTCAAGGAGTCTAAAGCTGTCGAACGAACAAACAATGATCTCGGCAGCAGCAAATAGTGCTCAAAGAAGAAGGAAACGTTTTCATAAGACTCGAAAGAAGAGTTCTGAAAGTAGGGATCATTGCAGATCTCCTCTACGTAAACCAAGAGAAACACGCAGTGTTGGTGGAACTCCTGTTTGTCTAAGAAAACGCATATCAATCAGTGAAAAGCAAAAGTAAAACGTTATTTTTTATTTAGTTATGGATTTCTTTTGTTCTAATATAGAAATTAATTTATTAATTTAATTTTAATTTATACAGATTTAGTCACACTACACCTCATAGATTATCCCACCGTTCGAGTTCCTTAGTATTTACTAGTGTACATGAAAATCGTTGTATGACTGTAGCAGAGAGCGAGAAAGCAATATTAAAGGCAGATTTTGAAGCGGATGTAAAATATCGACAATTAATAATGGAAGCCGAATCCATATTGCTTTCAATGAGAAATAGCTTACAGAGGTAAGTGTTAATCTTTTGAAGTTAGTATATCAGTATCAATTTACATGTGTATGTATATTCACATATAATTTAAGGTCCAAATGGACTGCACAAGCGTCTTGACAAACATACATTTTTCAATCTCACACACACTACACCAACATTGCTCATACAAACACAGATTTTTTGTGGACTTGCAAAGATACAGATGTCAGTTTTTCTTAGATATGGAAATGATGTTATTAATGAATATAAACCATACAAACGGTTTGACGAAAATTCAATATGTTTGTGTAAAAATCAAAACTTTTTAATTTTTGTACAAACAAACCACAAGCATTTGTACAAGCACGAAACACCCTCATACACTACACAACATGCTTGCACAAACGTAAAACATTGGTATGTTTGTCAAGCCGCTTGTGTAGTCTATCTGGCCCTTTAACTTTAAAAACGCTAACAGTCCTCATTCAAAAAAAAAAAAAAATAGTTGAGTACGTCAAAGACTGTATCTTTGTTAAAAGTTTAAATTGAAGAAATTTAAACAAACTTCTGTAGTATGATACATATTCTTATACAATAAAATAATATATTTAAATTTTTGCTATTATTTGATTGCTTTGTAGGCTTTAATAGTTAAAATTGAAATGATCAGATTTATTTATATTAATTAAATATTTTTTATTTAGTATTTCCCGTGAAACTCCTGTAGCCAGTCCACGTAGACTAAATCCATTAGCCAATAAACGTGTTGAAATGATTAAGAACTGTGAAATTGAACCGAAAAGAGATGTTCAAAAGCAACAACATCAACAACATTCACCAAAGAAACATATGTCATCCGAATTAAGCGAACAGGAATTAACAGCAGCCGTCAACAAACGCATTGAAATTTTAAAATTGGAAACTCTGTCACCACCTGGTAGTCCCAAATTGGGACAATGCAGTCCCCGAAAAACCCACTTGACCAATTTTATTAATCAAAATACACCCTCGGAAGGAAACATAAGAAAAAATTCAAACAATTCTCCCTTAGTTCAAAGAAAAAGTGTTAGTCCAGTCGCATCACCCACGCCCCAACAGAGATGTTTCAAATTTCAAGCGAATAATTTAAGGCCACCTTCTCGTACTCAGAATATCCAGTTTAGTGATTCTGACCAAGATTTGGGCAAACCAGTTCAATTTTCATGCAATTCTAAATGTGAAGATAGTGTTATCAAAGAAACAAATTTCATTTCACAACTTCAAAATAAAGGACCTCCAATGTCTCTAAACTACTGTCCACAAAGTGAACCACTAAAACGTAAAATATACAAAAACCACCATCCATCATTTGATCGTACAGGCAATTGCAACCCCATACAAAAAGGTGCATATACATACTTACTATAAAAAGCTTGAATAGTTACTTTTTTATTAATATTTATTTTTTTTTACTTATTTATACGTTAATACTACACAGATACCAGACAAGAACTTTTAAAACAACAACGTCTTAAAGCGTACAATACCGGAAGCGTGGAATTCCCCGCACACAATCGAAAGCTTCAACTCAAATCGAATAGTCAAGATCTGAACCATTTGTCATCATTTGGTTCAAAGACTGATTTCAACATTAATACGCCATCAGATAAAGCAGCTTTAATACTCAGCACAATAGAGGATTTAAAACGTAATTTAGAACATCAAAGCATCGAGCTCAATGGATTACATGACTCGTAAAGTTAACCTTTTATTATTCTTATTATTATTCCATATTTTTACTACCTAGTATATACATTTATCTTCGAAAGTTTAACGTATATACAGTGCATTAAGTATAAACGTTGAGCTTTTTGGCTCTAATCAGAATTATCGGATCATTAGGAAACAAAACGGATCCTATCGACGATAAACATATTATTACCAATCATATACATACATATTTACAAGCATTCATTAACATTTATTTATTATTCTTTATTTACTACTTTAGATGTAAACAAACATTACCAATATTAACAAAACATTTATAATTTAGAATTTGAAAGATAAATTCGAAAATAGATATTCTATACATGAAAAGCCTTCTGTAAATCATTTCAGCTTACTTTTACAAATTTTTAATGCGAAATTTTAGAAATTAATACATTTGATATAAGCTGATGTGATCTACTAAATAAGGATACGCATTTACATACATACATTAACAAATTTATATAAAAAAATATTATTTATATAACATATAATATCAGATAATAAAAATCATACATAGATCATCGGTTACATTATGTTTAAGTTTTATTTTTTAGTTTTTTGATTATATTTTAATGTCCTTTTACCTTATGAAATCCCTCCATTTTATTATACAAATTTTGATACACATATGTTTAATGTCATATTAATTTAAATTAGAAACATTTAGACTTTTATATACACAATAGCAAAGCAATATGTATGTTGGTCAGAAGAATACATTTTTGGATCAAAAAAAAAACTTGTAGCTTATTTTCTATTTTCCAATCCCCGAGATGTTTTGAACTAGACATAATATTTGCAATATGTATTCCAAATATTAAATATATAATATCTCACATCGACAACATTTTCCAATGTTTTGATTGTTCATATTTTAGATGACAACTACGTATGTATGGATGTCTAATATTTAAGTTACCTAAGTTACAATTAAATAAATCAAATCATCAAAAGGCTAAATCCTAAATACTAATTAAAAAAACATACATATTAATTATTTACATACATACATACATAATTATTGTAGTTTTAAAAATGTTGTTTCTTTTGTTTGTTATAAAAATTTTATACTCATTTTTTAAATTAAATTTAAATGTAGTATTATTAATAGTTAATTTGTAGTTCTAATGAAAGTTCATAGACTTTATTTATATTTTAATAGTCCCAATTTTATACGTACGTATATTTTCATTTTTTTACATTAATATTTAAAAAAATTATATTTTCATTGTTGTACCACTCTTCCCCGTATTGAGCTTTGAATTATATTTCCAAAGGAATTTAAATCAATGTCTTTGTTTTAAATTTTTTTCTAAATTCCCTGAGGATGGTTTAGCGCCAGTTCGGCAAAGTCAAATGCAATGTTTTTTTATATAATGTTCGAAGTATTTAGATCAATTAAAATTAGTTAAAGTTATTTTTTAATATTTAAGTTCCTTATTTGCCTACAATTTGTTTAATTAAATTTAATTTGTTATTTAATGTAGAAAACCAAAAAATATTATTACATTAAAATTAAAAAAAAAACGATAAAAATATTTATATGTAGACAAGTATCAATTAAACCATATCTGTTTAAGCATAAACTCAAATAATTAAACCGGCATTATTTAAGTACTAAAACTAATAAACATATTGAAAATTAAATATTGTATGTTTTCAAACATTCAACTATCAAATACATGTATTTATGTATGTAGTGGTAGGTATTATTTTCAGTATTACTTAGTACGAGTATTATTAATTACTAATGATTATATGTAGAGTAAAAATGTCAAATGGTTTTTGACAGTTTAATTTTTCAATTAAAAAAAAAATATGTTATACATAAAAATGGCTAATGAATTACATATAAGGATTAACAGCATCCTTAAAAAATGATAAAATAAATGAAGTAGATTTAATATAAACGATAATAATAACAATTACAGATATTAATATGCCTAAACTTGTTTTATTTAACAATTCTTTAGTTATCAAATTTCCAATTAGTGTTTTTCTTATACTGTCTATCAGTATATATAATATAATAAGTATTTATACATAAATATACTTTGATAACATCCTTGAAAATGATAAATGAGTTTTTATACCCTACACCATTATATTTATTTGGATATTTTTGTGCTTGTAACGCACATTTTATACCCATCTTTAAGTATTCAGTTCTTTCAACCCAGATTTACTTCTCGAGTCGATTTAACGAAGTCTCTACGTCCGTCTGTGTGTCCATGTAAACGTTATTATTCAAGTAAAGGTCACAATTTTCAAGATGATTCCATGCAATTTGATGCAAATACTTTTTTTTTTTGTAAAAGGGCTAAATTTGGTTGAAATTGGTATTTTTTTTTCATTTAGGACCCATACAACCAGATATATCATAATTATGGTTCAAATTGACTCAACTATTTTTTATATACATATGTAAGTAAAAATCATTAATGCTGATCAGTCCATAAGAGAACATAACCCCTATACAAAGTCACCTTCCGAAAATCATTTAAACGCCCATAATTTACTTGTAAATATTAGTGTCGCTATGAAATTCAACATAAATAAGTACATCTTTTATGAATATCGGTCCATATTTGGCACTAGACCCCATTCATTGCCTCTTTTCGAATATTTAAGTATTGTGGTAAAATCTGACCTAAATACTAGACAATGAAATTTTTATAGATATTGTACACAAAATCATTTCAAATAGACTTATAACTGGTGTTGGGTATCATATGGTCGGATATGGCCGATTACACTTTCTTACTAGTTTTTAGTTGAAGAAAGAAGTACATTTTTCAAAATGAGTGATAATTTTTATAAAAAGTGTAACATTTATAAGACTGTTTTATACAACTTAATTTCGTCGTAACATTTTTATAATAACCCCTAAATCTATACTTTGAAAACATTAAAATTGTGTGAAACGATTTTTAGAAATTTAATAAAAATGTATTTAGTATATATACATATAGGCAATTTCATGTCAAGTGACCCAACTCAAACAATCGCTTTTGATGAAATATGCACCAAAGTTTCAGAAAATTAAAAAAAAATCGGAAATAATGAAAAAAAAGTTACCTGTCTGAGCTCCTTTGGACAATTTTTGCTAAGACCAATAGGTGAAAAGTTACTCTCATTTGAATAAAACCCTGTGTGATCAAAATGTCCAACCTTAAATTGTCCCCCTCTAAGTCCGGCAGTTCTTGACCGATAAAGCTGAAAATTTGTGCCTGGCCTACTATCTAATAGTACTAACTTTGGTGCCAAATCGATTTTTTGAATTGGGTCACTTGACACGACATTGCCCATATGTATGTATACACATCGCTAGTTTATTTAACGACCGTTATAATTTGAAAAAAAATATTATTTCTAAAGTAACAGTTTGACAAATCATGTGAATTGAAGAACGTAACTTGATACATGCTACATATTGTATAGAATATATATTATTTTTTTAGTCAAGTATACATACTCATGTATGTAAAAACGTTTATCATATCAGAATTTTGAATTATGCCAGTTTAAAGTAGATAAGTGAAAATACTTTCAATAATTAGTTGGTTTTAGAAATTATTAAGCTTAGAGGATAAAAAAGCCTGTGGCAATTTAAATTTTTCAGATCAGATTCTGTTTGTTAAAAATATAAAACCCTAGTTCTATAAATTTCAATAAATAATAAATATTATAATTGTTTTAACTAGTTGTTAATTAGCCTGCATGATCCTTAGTTTACACTTCACTTCACACACATCACAACTTATTAGTTATTAATACTACGTATTATTTGTTGTAATTATATCTTGTTAATATACATATTTATACATACTTATACATACATATACATATGTATGTATAGATGTTTTTATTTTAACAAAAACCCACCTTCAGTCTTCTTTTTGCATTTGATAAAGAAGAAACTTAAGACAATCTATTGAGCTTATAAGATTATTAAACATATGTATACATACATACATATACATTATGCCTGATCTTAAAAATAATTTTGTACTGCAAAGACCTTAATATAATACAAGATATTGTTCTTATGTTTAAATTGGGTTCGTGGTTTCGATTTCCACCAGAGATTCTGGTAATGGAGCGTGCTACAGGACTGATAGTGACCTAATAAAATAGCAAATAAATAAAACGATTTCTAACTTTTAGGTACACATTTTAATTTTAAGCTACGGTCTAATGTATATACATAATTAATACTTAGTTACATTTCATATTCATTCTCATAAACACATACAAACATACATACATATTTACATATTATTGATATTAAGCTACTTTTAAGAACTATTACGATAATTTCTATATCAAAATAAAGGCTCAACTAATTAATTTCGTATGATTTAATTTAACTACGGGTATTTAAATATTTATTTATAACTAGCTACATATTCTTTTCTTGAATGGATACATAAATATGTTCATACAATGTAAGGTTGTATTTACATATACATACATAAATATTCATAGTCTCATATCTTTGGATTTACCAAGTTTTTGTTTGTCTAAATTATTTTTTGCCAACAATGTATCTTGACGTCAGTGTGGTCATTGTGAAAAATCCCCATACAGAAAACACTAACAACATTAGTATTTTTAGTATATTAAATAAATAAATATATAATTGTACATGAATACATTACGCTACGTTTTCAGAATCGCAGATTTTTTTATTTAGTTTTATTGAAAACAAACGTATGAATTGACTACATTTTCGGCGTTGAAAGTTACTGACTAGAATTTTTGGGTGTTTATTTGTGTGTGCTGCTTATTTTTTTAATTAATACTTTATCAGACACCCTCTGCATTTGATCTGATTAGTTATACAATCATAGTAGGTATATTAAATGGATCCCAAAGGTGAACATATGGTTGTCTAGTCTACAGTCCAGCCCATAGTATATAGTCAAGTATAGTCTAGTCTAAAGTCTAGTCTATAGTCTAGTCTAAAGTCTAGTCTATAGTCTAGTCTATAGTCTAGTCTATAGTCTAGTCTATAGTCTAGTCTACAGTCTAGTCTATAGTCTAGTCTATAGTCTAGTCTATAGTCTAGTCTATAGTCTAGTCTATAGTCTAGACTGTTTGCTTTATACACTTGTATATTAGTAGTATATTTTCAAGTCGTTTTAAAATTATTTTCTCTTTTATATAGTAATTTAAAAAATGCTTGGGGAATTCAAATTAATAACGTCCACGCGTAAAAATACAAATTACACCCCTTGTGATACCAAAAATAATCAATACCTTACTCGCATTAATTAATTTATATAGGAAACTTTTTGTTTAGATTTTTGGTAATATGCTAAATACTTTGTTTAATTAATTTTTAAAATTAATAATTTCTATATTTCTATATTTGTTTGTACATATGTACATTAAGGATATAACTAATTTTGGGAAAATTTTTGGCATACCAACAAAAGCAAAAAATAATACAGTTTTTTCATATATTTTAATGCTCTATTCGACTGGTTATGTTATGCCAATTCATATGAAGTGAAATATACATATTAAGAAGATAAAGAATACATACTTTCTAAAATTTTCATATAAAATTACATACTTTTTAGTAAATACTTATCTAAATTTTTTAGAATCTCTATACTCTAATTTATGCTGTGTAATTTTTTATAGAAATAGGATCAGACCTTAGAAAATATAGACGTTCACACAAATTTTATTGTGTAGAAATTTCCTTGATCTTACCTGATTCTATTATTTGCAAAAAATGTCGAAACTAATAATAAAGACATTCTAAAGTGATAATTTCAAAGATATATTATGTCACGTTATTTTCCTCAAATATTTGATAAGTGTGAACGTACCTTTACTACAATTTTTCATTAAAAATTTTAAAACGGTATCCTGAAAAGTATAAAAAAGTACACAAGTCTTTATCCTTGTTGCCACAGATTTTTAGAGTAACGGTAATAGAGATAAAAGTGTATTTTGAATTTAACGATAACGCTATTATAAACAATAACAAAAAATGAATAGCCTTATTGGGTTATTTCAAGAACTATTATTTGTGTGTAAAATAAAAGATACGTATAGTGTAGGTACACCTACGACAATAATAATGTTTTGGATATGTAAATGTGTATAATAAATATTATTTTTCTTTTCACAATTCAAAATCGAGCTAATATTCTTCTTAACAATAATCAAAGTGATCTTTACAAATATGGAGCTCGTTTTATTTATACATTCGTTTAAGAAGTTTCCAGAAACATTTAAGTGCTCAAAATCAGATTAGTTTTCGTTTTATTTTTATATAAGTATGTATGTATTAAATATTTTTGCAACTTCTGTTATTTATTATTGGAAATTTCCACGTTGTTAAATGAAAGGAATTTACAAAGTCCTCTAGAAAAAATGTAAACAAAATATTTCTACAAGACATGTAACTATGTATATATGTATGTATGCATGTAATTATTGTATGTCTAGCAAGCCGGTGATAAAGTACAAAAAAACAAAAAGTTACATATACATGCATACTAATATACACTTATGAATATGTTTATTTATAAAGAAAATAAATATGTATATATACATACATATGTATGTAATATATGTATATAGATATGTAAAGTCCATGCTCACTTAACATAACAGAGAAATAAGCTTATCTGGTTAATTCAAAATGTATTTTATTTATAGTTTACTAGCCATATACATTAATACTTATGCCAAACATTAACAGACTTCTAGAAGTAGGAAATAAAGGCAATAAGGTGTCTTAATAGTATTTTATGGATAGTTATGATTAAATTTACCTCCTTCTAACATATTTTCATTACACCATCGATCATACCTTACCGATTATTTCCACAGTGAGGTA